ATTAAATCACTCTGAAACTAATTGCTGTTACAATCCAAAGAAAAGTTTGCATTGATAATGTATGGTCCTTATAATGTAGCATCGTGCAGGACACATCTTGTTTCATACAGTCAAGTTCTCAGAACTTTTCAGAACCAAATTTATTCTTTTAACACTTCACAGTGTTTTGGCAGCGTCTTATCTCTAGAGGCCTTAATCATTTCCCACATGTGGATAAGAGTCTCTATTACAACTGTCAGTTATAGACAAAAGATGTCTGATGGATTTGCCAATATGTAAACAGATCCCAAAGCCAGATTGTCAACTTTAATTTTGTTCAAGCTCAGTCCACACTGTTCCAGTTTCTGCCCACTGCCTACTCCCTGGTCTCAGCCTCTCTGTTGGGACTCTGAGGTTGAGACTGTGAGGTATTTATTGTGCAGGGAGCAGAAATCAAATAGAGCAGAGTGAGCTGAGATGTTTGAGTTTGAACTGTTTAAACCGAACTGATCCGAGCAAATTAGCCGCGCTGTGTGACTGCCCAGAGCGGATGTCTCAAATTTCAATTCAGACAAGACCGAGGTCCTACAGTGAGCTAGAAACCCACACAGTTACTCTGTTATCTTTGTTTTCATACAACAAGCTGGTTTGTGAGAATGGATTTATCCTCAGGAAGGATCACACATTGCTATTACAATCCAAAGAAAAGGTTTGCAACAAACTCCCAGTAAAAACATCATCTGTCAAGATTCCTCAACTTTATCTCGCACAAAATCACTCTCAGCTTTTAAAACTTCAGAACATAATTTTGCAGACCAGTAAACAATTAGTTTCAGTTGTTTTTTCTCCTGTGCCATTTTTTTTAATTGATGCCCAATTTTTTATTCTGTATCCTGTGGCTGTTATTTGTTTTGTCATTTGTAAAGCAGTCAGTAAACTGACAATGGATTTTCATTAGAATTTAGCAGATTGAGACTGAATGCTGCGGCAAGATGCTGAGGGTTGAACCACGGCAAAAATAAGAGGAGCACAGTTAGAGGATGAATAAACAAATTAAACAAACACAAACGTGTCCACTCACTCTCAGAAAGACATACAGTTTAAATGTCAGAAAACAAACTGCCTGCTGAGACTGTAGAGAAAAGGAAGGTGAACTTCTGGTTCAGTGAGACATCAGTAGACATTGCCATACCTTCTGATAGCTGCTTAGGGACTGAAGGATGGACAGTGTATGAATAATCTCAAAAGCACTTTTTTTAATAAACTGGTAAACTGTAATTGCATTTGGATTTGCATTTCACTAGTTGTTCAACAAGTGTTCAAAATTGCCCAATGTTTGCAAAGAAGTAATTACACTAATCATTTGGGCCAATTTGCTAATAAAATCTGTCTGACTAACAGTTGAACTGAAAACATCTTTCTGGATTCATTCAATGCGTTGCATTTAAAACTGACTAATAAATCCTTCCCAATGAAGGTTATAGTATTGTTTTTGTTGAAACTGTTTTAGAGAGGTGTTGATTCAACCAAAGCTGATTTTGGCTGTTTATTGGTAGGGATGGCAATATCTGTCTGTCAGTGAGTTGGTCAGTCAGTCCACCACTTCACAAATATCTCAACAACTACAGGATATACTGCTATAACATTTTGTGCAGACAATCGTGGTCATCAGAGGATGAATCCTCATGACTTCGGTCCTCTGACTTTTCATCTTTAGACTAAGGGCTCTATTTTAACAATCTATGCACATGGCATGAACTCTGAGACGCAGTTGCGTTTGTGGCAGAGAAAATAGTCAGTGCCCCAGGCACATGGTTCAAAAGGGTTGTACCTAGTCTGTGTATTAGTCACGGGTGTGTTTTGGGCGTAACATGCAATACTCCAATCAGAGTGTCATCTTTGATTCCCTTTGAAAGCCAGGGGTGCTTGTACCTTGGCGCATTGCTATTAAATCCATCAATTGACTGATTGAATTGCAGACTCACAGCAGAGGGGGAGGGGGTGGGGGGGTTGACAGAAGTGTGGACGTGATATAAAAACTGTCTCTGATCATGAAGCCTAATGCTACTCTGCAGCTCTGTGGTTTATCAGTGAAGTGTCTGAACAACACAGCAGACTGGAGTCTGTTAACAGACAGACAGACGTTGTCTCCTCTATGAAACGTCTGGATCCTCATTGCGCTGCATCATTATTAACTATGATGAACCTGTCTTGGGTCACATCTCTCTCTCTCTTCCAGTAGATTCTTTATTTTGTTATTTCTTGCTGTTTTCTTTAATTGTTTATTTTCATGATTGTAGAGGCTTCTGTCAGTCATTTTAAATGTTCCTATGTGCAGAGTTAAGTCACAGCAAATATTGTGGGGCATTTTAGCAGCAAAACACGGAAACTCTCCAGAGGAAATAGAATCCAACCTTTAGCTTCTGAAATAATTTAGACGCCTTGATGGAGCTCATGATTGATCAGGAGTACGGCTGCTTTACTCTAAACAGTTTCACTGTATGAACCTGGACTGTGTGTGAGAGCTTTTGGATGTGTAGAAGAACACGGAACATGAATTAACATTACATCCTGACTGATCCTGTCGGCGTAAGTTACGTTGCTGTGCCTCGTGCGTAAATGCGCACAGCATCTCTTTTAAGAGAATCTTCTTATTGGAATAACGCGCCCCTATAATAACAAAAAACAGTCAAATGCTGCGCCATTGACTTGAGACCTGTTTTTCTGGGGGGGTTATTGGCGCCTCAAGATAGCAATGCGCCAACAATTTGCCTGACCACACCTCATTTTAAGACCAACACTCCCATGGGCGCACAGATGAGCACATTTGCTATTTAAACAACAGCATCAGTTGAAAACTAGCGATGACACTTGCACTGTGAGGATGCTGTCCAAGCTACAGGTCATCTTGGACAATGTCTCGCACCCACTCCATGACATGTTGCTCAAACACAGGAGCACTTTCAGTGCAAGACTCATCCTCCCAAAATGCAACACAGAGCGCCACAGGAAGTCATTCCTGTCTCTGGCCATCAAACTCTTTAACTCCTCCCTTAAAGTGTCTGACACACAGACCCTTAGTTAGTTATTAAACTTGACCTTGTAGTGGGATACTTTCTACATTCTGTGCAATATTCTCTGTTTTAATATTCAATGTGCAATATACTTTGCTGTAATTCTGCTTCTATTTATTCACTACTACTGTTCATCAAAATTCTGTTAATAATTGTACATATACTCCTTTATATTTCTTTCTTTATAATTTTATTTGTATGTTTTATATTTAAATATTTGTTTACCTACCAACTTCTATTATTATTTTTATTCCTTTATGCCCTAATGTGCAATGTGTGCAACTGTGACACAAGAATTTCCCCTCGGGGATCAATAAAGTATTTCTGATTCTGATTGTTGGCATGTAGCTACATTCCTTTGCACTCCGCTGCCAGCTGCTGATCAGTGGAGAAGCTTGAAACTGGCAGCAGGAATGTGTATCACATTGTCCATATGTTTGCACAATACAAAGCAAAATAGGGACCCACTCGTGAAAAATCTGCTCCATAGTTTTACTAGTGGTCAAGAGCTCCACAGTGTGCCTTTAATGAATGTCTACTTCCAAATTAGATCCTACATTAAAGGGAGAGTAAGTAATTCTGCAGAAGGATTGTTGATATTTGAACTCAACTACCTAACAAAGACACCCTTCCCTATAGCACTCCCTCAGAAGCTCTGTCCCCGCAAATTTCGAATCTCTGAGGTTTCTCCAGCATTGAATATATAGCTTTCTTCTCTGTTGATACTCTTTTCCTCTTTGGCTGTTTCTCGGCCATCTCTCCTTCCTCACAGTGCCTGGAGTCCAGTATGTTTGGATGTGCCAGTGTATAACTCTCTCTACCACTGCCCCCATCCTGCATGAGCACTAACTGTTGCTGATTGGCTGGAACAATTTGTGGGGAAGGTCCGCACCACTTTCTTTGTGTTCCGTTTACAGAGCACCCACAAAACAGAGAGCTAGCAAACTGTGGGGAATTATTCCCTGAATTTAACAGAAAGCGTTTTGGATTACAAACACTTACTTTCCCTTTAAAACCATACAAAACTTCTGAACAAAATTGTGGTTAGTACTGTAATCCACATCCACCATGAACTGATCACTGTAATTTCTTTCACTCCATCTTCAATGTAAACTGTTTAACTGAAGCTCAGAAGTGCCGACAAGATCTGATGTTGCCAACGTGATAAAAAGGAAGATCACAGCTTAAGATAAAGAATTTGGTAAACATCTTACGCTCACTGTTGTTGTGTCTGCATGTCGGGGAAGCAGCATTTCTACAAAATGTGATTATTTGTTTCTAACTGGTGGAAATCTTCTCAGCCCTCTCTTGAAAGCGTTGGCTACATGAAAGCAGCCTCCTGCTCTGTTTGGTAGTTGTCTGGTTAGGATCAGCATGTGGAAACACAGCTACAGATGTGTGTTCCTGTTTACACTGAGCGGGAGGTAATTGAGGAAGTCTGGCTCTCTCCTCAGGAGCTCTCGGCTGCTCAGTGGGAGCTGCGTTACTACCGAACCAAACATCTCACATCTCTCTGTTGCTTTCTTTCTAACTCTCTCTGTTTATCTCTTTTTCTCTGTCCTCACATGCCTCTTCCTCTCTATCCTCCTCTGCCTCTCTCCTTTCTTCTCTCATTCTTCCGCTGGATGAAATATTTGCTACTTAGTGGGAAGGACGCCATGTCTGCCTCACCCTACAAGAGATGCACCAAAGAGGCAATTCTCTTTTCTTCACCGCCACAACAAGAGAGCTCAGTTTTCTAGCTTCATCCAGGGGAGCTGTGTTGCATCTGTCAGCAACACCTTCTTTAACCTCCCTATGAGAAGACAGCGGGAGCAGCTAAGTCGACTCCCATGTGCATTATAGCATGCAAATGAGTTAATCTTTTGCAAACTTTCCCAGAAAGCTCAGAGCACATTCAGTATGCAGCATTTTTTTCCTGTCCTCTCCACAGCTGCTCATCCTTACCTGGAACTGGCCAGTGTAGTCGTCGTCTGTGGTGCCCTCTCTGCCCTCCTTCAGCGCTATGAGGGTGAAACCTCTGAAGTAAGCAGGGCTGGTTGCCAGGAGGATCACTGTAAAGGTGGAGAGAGAGAGTTTGTATTTACTCCACAGAGTAGGCAGCGAGGAGGCACATACATTGACATCATCAGGGTCGGATCGCATGATGCAGGGTCACACTGGATGATGCCTTCCTGTGAGCATCTGCCTGATGTGGAATAGTGAGGGCTGTAAATAGAGGAATGCATCTCACACTAGAATAAAAGAAAGCCTATAAATCTCATGCAGGGAGTTTGGTGTGGGGAACAGGTCAGGAATGGGAGCCACATAATGAGATGGGAGGTGGAATTTTGTTCGGCTCACTCTAGTGCCCTAATCGTGCATTTTCATACCAACTCATTTCTGTCAAAATTTGCTCCTGGTGCTGAGAATGGAGATGTCAATATTTTCAATCTTATCGGGTTTATAAGTGAACTTATTTGCTACTTAAAGGTGGTGAAAGATTTGGGAATAACATGTTTCATCCCCGGGTGTTGTCCTTCACAGGTTACCGATCGCTGATTAGAATTTGGACCTGGATTGCTAAATGTGGCATCACAGCCTAATAATTGCATGATCTGGAATATAATTTCAGTGGGGAGACTTTAAGACAAGGTGACCCTTGATTTTTGTCCTTGGCTTTGAAGCCTCTGTCAAAACTGCAGCATGCCAGGACTTCCTACTGTGAAGCCCCCCATCCTATCACTGGATTTATTTCAATTCTTATGAAAACAAGTTTGGATTTGAAAACAAAAAAGGTCAAAAGTTTTTTAGATGAAAACTGCATAATGTTAGTGAGTAAGTTCTAAACTCACCAATAATCTCTGTGAGTAGGCCAGAGTCTGTTTTTTATGAGGCCAAATCTGCCAGGTAGGATAGGGATTGAATTTGTAGGGGTCAACTTAATTGGATCTGTGTCTGGCTCTATGTGCTTGTTTATATATGTGTGCATGCGTGTGTGTGTGTGTGTGTGTGTGTGTGTGTCACTGCACTGAAGGGGAGAGGAAGTGAATATAGGTCAGACATTATAACACTAAGTAACCTTATCAAACCACAACTCTCCCTGCAGAAGCCAGTGGAGGTGGATTGACTAGTTTGGAAATTGTGTCCTCCAGGCTGCAATTTCCAGTAAAATATTAAAATACTGTAGATACCACTTACAATGTTAGGTGGTTAGACATCTGGAAATAAAATGAAATAAAGATTTCTATGAACTGCACAGTGCACATGCCCTGTTTTCCAACTTGATAAACAGTCCACTTGTAAAACTGGGCGCAGGTTTACGCACTGGTCGCGCAGACGGACTCTGAAAAACTCTACCTCTGTAAGTGCTGCCGGGCTGGTAGGTTTCCGGGTCCCCCTCCACTCTCAGTCTGAACTCATGGTGCCCATCCTTCCGGGTCCCCTGGGTCTGCGCCCGGAGGATCCGACCGCAGTACCCGTCCGACCTTACTCCGAAGGGTTCCTCCACGAAAGCGACGGCGTTGCACACGAAACTCGAGACGAAATAGTACTGCAAAAGCAGCACATGTAAATACATTCCCATTTCGAAACCCGGAGATGAGTATACAGTGGCAGCTTAATCAAATTAAAAACCGAGCAGAAAGGCGAGACAGCAGACAGAGGATCAGTCCCGACTCCTTCCCCGGGAACTCCCACAGAACTACAGCAGCGTCACAGTCAGTGGTAAAGGTGAAGGGAAGGAGACGAGTCCATCCTGAACTGGAGAGCGCGTCTGGGGCGCACCACGTTGAAGCGGTGCTGCTCGGGGAGAAAGTAACTGCTGCTGCTGTTCCCGGGTCAATGTGCGGTGTTGATACAGAGCCTGGAAGCAGCGAGGGGGTGGGCGCCAAATTACAGAGCGCGGGTGCACGCGGCTGTCTCCTTGACTTCAGGCGAGGGAAGGTCCAAACTGGAGCTCCGCGCTTTAATAAGAGCAAGCCCTCCCTCTAAAACACAGTTCCACACACGTAACAGTACACACGCTGTCTGTCTGTGTTTGTGGACCTCACAGCCCTCGGTGCTTCTTTGGGACAAATGTTCTGCCTGCTGCTCAAAAACCAAAGCAAATTTTAAATTCCATATACACTGTAGGTTGCATGGGAGTTGAAAGGCGTCATGCAGTTACATATGGAGAGTACGACCCTAAAAGTGAGTAGCATAGTTATATTAAAGTGAAGAAGGAACATAATTGTGTTTATTAATCCTGATCTCTTGTGCGCCTTTATACTCCACAGTTTTGTTAAATAACCTTGTTCCATGAACAAGTGAATAATGACATAACGATTTTCTGCTCTGAATAACTTGAAAGAGGGCATGAAGTTAGATAAGATCATCGTAAACTCAATAGTGAGCAAGACAGTCAAACAAAAAAAAAATGTTCCCATCCTTTGCGTATTTACGCATTTTCTGTTGCGCGGTTACGCGAGTTTATCGTGTTTCATGAACAAATGAGCAACGAGCATCACTTAATATGACTCAGCGTCAGCCAGAGTAAAGGTTAATGCTCTGACCTAACATCTATAAATCAACTGATACGCTTTCTAGATCCGATGCAGGAAAATAAACCTGAGCAGAACCTATACATTCTGAGCTGCCTGCCCCTGCCATAAGGCAAAACGGACTTCAAATCATTAAATGAATTGCTTTACACTGATTAAAAATTATTTTCATTCTAATAAACCTTAAAACGAATGAGCATTTTATTTAATAATTTACTTGTGGATTAAATGCACACTTTTTTGTATGGACACCTTGTGTAGCCTATGTGAAGCACGCCATCAGCTTTCCTCATAACTATCTCCCATAGTAACTATATAATCCCTTGTACACTTTTACAAGATGCATTTACAACAAGAGACAGTGTGTTTTGGCCAGTGGGTGTCGCCAGAGTAGCTTTGCACCTTTGGGTCCCCTAAAGCTACTTAGTAAATGTGTCACTCTCCTCATCACTGCACTTTTTACTCTCCAGTGTCCTGAAGTTTTATTATAGTGTAGAGAAAAGTATGAGGGATTATGGAAATGCAGGGTTTAAGGTTTCATATTAAATGTGTAGTTCGGCCTCAGATTTCCTTTTCATAATTTTTGTTGTTATGACATTTTGCAATCCTGCATTATTTTGTCTGAATTGCAGACAAGATGGACATCATATTACCTTTAGTGTTTATTAACTTTAACTTCCTTGTATATTTAAATTACAATAATCAAATGATCAATGTCTATTTTTAAGTGGCACGTGTGTGTGTGCGGGGGGTGGGGGGGTGGGGGGCAAACGTGTGTGTGTGTGTGTGTGTGTGTGTCTAAACCTGGGGAGTGTTATAACTGAAAGCAGTTGTCTGAGCTGGAGATGGTTAAACTAAACAGCATCAGCCTGTATGTCTCTGTGTGATGGATCCCATCTGGAGGGACTCTGCACTATAAACTGTCTGATGGCTGACGTCTGGAGCGTACCCTTGATCGAGAAGTAGAGTCAAAAACAACCCAGCGACCTTTCAGAATGAAAGCAACCTGTTTGCACACCAGCCAGTCCCATTCCTGCATTCAAACATCATTTTTTTAATTCAATATTAGGAAATCAGTAGAGCATCGGTGTGAAATCTTCTGTACCCCTGAACATCATATGAAATTACCATGAGTACTGGCTCAGAGTGGTTTATTGTAATACAATATTTAGGCTACTCTTATACATATTTGTGTTAAAATAATTCACTAGTATTAAACTATGAGTATTAAATAGATGTCTGAATGAAAAATACTCTTTCTTTGTATGAAATCCCTGATTTGTTTTAAGTCCCCCAGTCACTCTAATAACGTGTGCATTTGACTTTAGTCAACTTGTCTGCTTGAATAAGACTTTCATGAGGGTGATAAGGTTCTGCTGCAGGAAGCACAGGCCAAAAGGGTGAATTAAATATGAAAATCGCACTGATCTTAGCGTGCGGGAGTCATTTCATCTAATGGACTACAAGGATTCTAAAGAAGCCCTCGATATTGTGCTCAAGTGTGTAATAGAAATTCTAATCATTTTACAAAGCTTTTTTATTCTGCTCATAGAAGGTATTTGCTTCATTTAATTCCTTGTTTCTATCACAAGTAAAGAAGATGGACTGCAGGTATTGAAGTGTATAGGCTAAGTGATTTCCATAAATGGTGAAGGAAACATGTTTTGCTGAAGTAGAAGTGCCACTAGTACATGTTAATTGTACTTAAGTAAGAGTGCCTGTTTGGAAGATAAACATAACAGGATAAGCTTCCTATACAGTTATAGCAGTTTCTAGTCACACTATACATGAGTAAACTCTGACTGCCATAATTAAGCTCAGTTTCTGTAGCTTTCCGACAACTCTACCTCTGATTGGTTAGTACTTGTTGCCTCGGTTGGTTAGATTGGTTAAGGTTAGGGTTAGAGACCCATCAGTAGGTATCAGGTACTTAGTGCCTTACAGTAATGTGATTCATTTTTTTAATGCCTTGTAGTGAAAGGGGTTCCAATTTGAACTGCTTACTTAAATTACATTTAGAAATCACAGGAAAGCTCAACGTTTCGGTTTGTTGCCCTATACAAGGAGTTGGATGAGATTTTACTGATCTCTGTGCATTCAGTACAGAGGCTTGTTTGCTTTGCAATAGCTTGACGCCTGGGCTGGAGGTATGGGGAGGTAGCTAGTGTCCACCTAAAGGGGACAAATATGTCTTCCAGTAAGTGTTGTATTCACGTGTTGTGTGTCCTCTTAGCTGGCTTGTTAACATTAGGCACTCTTTTGTTCGGAGCTTCACAGTTCAGACTGGACTTCTGCCTTGTTGCATGCAGGCACAAAGAGTGTTCACTTTCTTTGGTGAGTACATTTAATTTTAAGCCAGTTGTTCGCCCTGTTAAAATGACAGTTAAGGTGAATTACAGATGCACTTAGCTAAGCAAGCTAGCTACCTCCACACATGGCCGTTAGCTCCACCATCTCGTCCAAATATGGTCACATCCAGGCACTTCCTGCTTTCAAAAAATCAACATGGCGGCGCCCCATCGGCCAAACTTGAGCCTTCAAAAAGGCCGTCCACAAACCGGTGTTGTCAAAATGACTACATCCACTTCTTTTATACAGTCTATGGTCCAAACGTGACAAAGACTAAAGAGCTGGTTGTGGATCTAAGGAGAGCCAAGGCACCAGTGACCATCCATCCAGGGGGTCCTTTTATAAATATTGTACATACCCACACACCTTTACATTTGTCTTTATTTTATATATTTATACTATTATATTTATATACTCTTTATCTATCTACCTTTGACAAGTGCAACTGTGACAAAAGAATTTCCCCTTGGGGATCAATAAAGTATTTCTGATTCTGATTCTGAAACCACAGGCAAGCTAAGACCTAGTCCTAAATACGGAGGATGTGACATGTAGATGTAGTAACTTTGGAGCTGCATGTACAAACCTGCTGAAAGTGATTGTTGAAAATTTTTATTATTTTATTTTATTTCAAATTAGATATAGAAATGGGGGAAAAAAACAAACAAGGGCTATTCCTCGACTGCCAAAATTACCACTCCCACTCTTTCGTGCCATCACCCTCTAGCAAATATCTCGCAACTTGCCAAGTAGGCCTAACCAGGGGTGGAAATGAACTTTTTGGTTCACCTGCCAATGGGACTGGTAGATGAAAAAAATCCACCGGCCAAACATATTTTTTACCGGTCAAAATAACTTGCCTTTTAACGGAGATAATAAGGTATTCTGTTGAATACAAACTTTAAGACGACACCAGATTGAAATTTGAAGCAAAATAAATGTATTGCTATAAAATGTACTTAAGACATAACAGTAAATTGTTTTATAAACTTCCAAGATGCTTAATCATTCAACTTAAATCTCATCACTGCTCACCGACTTCAATCCCCGAACGCCCACCACCTTACATACTGTATGTACGCCAATCAGACACAAGTAACCTGAAATGAACATAAACAACAAGCAATAAATGCCCCTAATCCATGTACTACACGATTTTAGATCCCTTGGTACAGTGGGGACAAATTTCAGTGCCACACACGACAAAAACCAACGCTGTTAGTTACCGTCAAAAAGCTATTATATGGCGATATTGTACCGCCGATGTGGCGGGTAGCCTTCCAACATTTGGCCACCAAACGCAAAATCTACCTGCATTTGGCGCTTGGCGGGTGTTAATTTCCACCCCTGGGTCTAACTGTACACTATTAGCGCTATCCTAGGATTAGTGCTAACTGTTTACCTAAACATGAGGAAATTGGAATTTAAGGTGCTCAAAGGCTAGATGGAAGATACTTTTATTCACAAGCATCTAAACCTGCCAGGCTTGACAATGGGTTTGGCAAAACAAATGCATAAAACATAAAATCTGACTAAATGAATGCCTTACCTGCAAGACTTGAAGCATAATAGATCATTCTCACAGCAGATATTTTGACTCATCAAACATGTGTAACCAATAACTTTAATAATAGATGCAGTCTATTTAGCTGTGGCAGTACTGCTGTTGTGCACACTGGCACACTGACAAAACTTGCTGGCACATCTAAATGTAACAGAGCCATTGTTTATATTATACTTGCTTTTCCCGTCACAATGAGCCAAATGTTTCTTGTGGGAGAGTGTCTTCTTTGTAATTTATTTTTATAGGGAGAAAAATGAAATTTCATTGCAGCAGTGTTCTGTAGATCTGTAAAAGAACCTTAGATTAAGATAAACACTGGATTACTGATTGGTTGATTATTGAATATATTCTATTTTAGCATGTGCAGCAGACAGTAAGGAGAGGAGTCTGATGTAGACACTTGGATTCATGGGTAATCTTTTATCAAACTAACATAACTAAAAACCATGTATCTCCACATTTGGTGATCTTTAG